TTTCCAGGTATTTTTTTGTTTGTTTGTTCGGTTGTAAACAACTATAAGCAAGCATCTTTATGCACAAAAGCTTGGCCTGCACTGCAGCTGATGAGGATTGAAGCTCTGAGTGGAATCACCAGGGGAAAGGGGAAGACCCTTTGTATGGCTTCTGTTATATATTGTTGAGTTGCTTTTCAGAAAGACTACTCCAGTTTCTTTTTTCTTTTTCTTTTTTTAACACCAGTTTCTATACAGGCTCCTTCTCAGCACTGAGGGTTTTGATTGGTTTTTAGATATTCAGACAACCTCTTGTCATCTTCATCGATGGCAGATCATTTTGATTTTTCCTGCTTTGACTGGTGGACAACAGTGGGGCTTCTGTGGCCAAGTGATAGATGGTGTTTGAGCCCAGGTTCAACCCAGAATGGGCCTGATAGGTCCATGGACTCAACTCTGGGTTTTCCCAGGTGCTGGTTGTCTAATTGCTATAAACATATGTGACAGCTGGCAGGATCCCACACGGGCTCTCTGACCCATGTAGTGCGAGTCATGAAGGTAGAAAGAGCCAAGTAGAAGCCCTTAGATCTCCCCATCTTTCCCAGGATAGTAATCCAAAAGCAATTCTACATACTTTGGGGGAATTGCAGAGATTAGTGCCGCCATTAATGGCTTGAAAGAAGCAGGGGTAGTGATCTCATCCCTGTTCACCTGGCCTGTTTGGCCTGTGCAGAAGGCAGATGGACTTTGGAGAATGACTGTGGATTATTGTAAATGCAGCCAGGTGGTGTCTCCAATTGCAGTTGCTGGCCCATATGAAGCATCTTTGCTACAACAAGTCAGCACAGCCCTTGGCAGCTGATTTGAGCTACTGACCTGGCAAATGCTTTTTTCTCCACACCACTTTCCAAGGACCACCAGAAGCCAGAAGTTCAGACCTTCAGTCTTGCCTCAGGGTGACATCGACTCTCTTGCTTTCTGCCATCATATAGACCACCGAGAACGTAATCCCGACAGTCCACGCAGCATCAAACTGGTCCAGCCCATTGGCAACATTGTGCTGTTCAGCTCTCATGAGCAGGAAATAGCATTTAGGAAGGAGGTTGGCAGTAAACCCGCTGCTGACATCAGTCAGTCAGGGTCCAATCTGGAGATTAAAAACAGCACCACTTACTTTAGCAGAATCATATCAGCTGTTTGAACTGAGAGAACCTGATATAGAGAATTGTTAACTAGATGTAAAGTTGTTAACCCACTAACTGAAAGAGTAAAAAGAAAACTAAGATTGCCATGCCGAGAGCTGAGGGGACAGGGGAAGAAGTTGGAAAGATTCACACTTAGAAATTCAGACGAGGGGCCCGATGGAGCTGAACCTCAGACCTCTGAGGAGGAGTTGTTTGTCTGGTGTTGCGGATGTTAGCTGGGTTTTTTGGATTTGAGCGGCAACTTATAACTTTTAACTTGGCTATAACCTGTGAGTGCTACTTCCGTCCATTTACCAAACAACCCACAAGGCTTTTCATTTTGAGGGAGGCCCAGAGCACACAGAGACTCTGCAGCAGGGCCTGGCTGCATGCGCGCTGACCTGCTGCCTGGGCCTGATAACCCGGCAGATCCAGGGATGTGCAGAGTGCTGCTGGCAAATAGGGGTGCAGGCGCCATGTGACTCAGCGCAGACCTCTAGGGTTTTGGAGCAAATCTTGCTCTTTGCATGATACTGTTCTTTTGAGAAACCGTTGGGCCCTTCTAGAGACTGAACACCGACCCGTGGATAGTGAGTGACCATGTGACCTGAGCGCTCACATGCCTGGGGTATTGTTATTTTTTGCAACAGTCAGGATCCTGCCAGGAAACAAGACATCTTTGAATGAAGAGAATTATTTACTAGAAATAAAGTTGTTCACTAGGTAACCAAGAAGGTAAAAGTTGAACTCCAGGACAGGAATCAGCAACCTTTTCTGCAAGGGGGCCAGATTTAAATATTTCCAACTTTTGGGTCATACTGTTACAGCTACTCAACTCTTCTGTTGTATGGAAAGCAGTCAGACAAGACCTAAATAAGTGGGTATGGCCGTGTCCCAATAAAGCTTTATTTACAAAGTCTGACCGATGGGCTGGACTTGGCCTGAAGGCGATAATTTACACACCCTAGCTCTCAGTTATCATGGTAGCAAGGCAGGAAGTGTCTGTCTAGTTCCGATGTAACAGAGAAGGAAAGAGAAGAGTTGAAACTGCTGGAAACAGAGGAAGGGCTCTGTGGGGCTGAAATTCAGACCCTAAAACTGAGACCCTAAGGAGGAGGCACTCGTCACCTGGCCGTGGCGCCCCAAGAGGGGCTCGGCGAGGGTGGTTCTGTAAATGCTGGGAAGCTGCAAACTGGATTTGTCTGCTGCCCTGGGGAAGAACTGCAGCTGTGGTGCAGAAAGGAGACTGGGGACAGTGAACAGACAGGAAGGAGCAGATTCCTCTCCTTCACCCAGCGTTGCCGCCTCCCTCTAGCGCCCCCCAGTGGCAGAGCCTGACAGCGAACTGATAGCAAAGCACAGACGTTTGCCCAGAGCTGGTCTAAGGGGTGGGTTTGGAGCTAGGGGACAGTCACAAGTGCTTTGCTTGGTTTGGGGACTTAGATAATCCCCCTGTCATTTCTGCAGGTGGTTTATCATTTGGATTCTTCCTGATTTTATCTCAGAGATTAAACTGCCGGGGTCCCCTTGGGGAGGGAAGTCTCCAAAAACTAGGTGTCTCCCCTTGGAAATGAAGGGTGGGGTGGGGGTGGGGGATGGGAGGAGGGTTTCAAAGCCTCTGAGAGAAGCCTGGAAGGAACTTGGAGCATTTAAGGATCTGTCCTCCCTTCAGAGTGAAACCCAAATCTGACCACCTCCACCCCTCTTAGCTTTCACACCACACATCTCCGTGGACATCTTTAGTCGGTTTCCTCCCACTCTGCCACCTCCTATCTCCCACCCTGGGGAAAGCCACCCATGGGTTTTAAACAGGTAATATCACTTTGGATTGGGGGTGTTATGAATGGAGGCAGGGAGGCCAGTGAGGGGGCTAATACTGTTATTGTGGAGGGCCTTGGCAGGACAGACCTCCTGTGGGTGCATAAAAATAATATGCTGCTCCTGACAATTCACATATTAGTCATAAGAGTGACAAGTATACAAGAAAGGGGGAAACTGCTCCTTACTCTCAACACCTAGGAATTCCCAAGGGTATGCTCCAAATCCAGTGTGTTCTGGGCCCTGCCGCACATCACCGCCTGTGGATTCGGCCTTGGTGCCATGCCGTCTCTCCCTCACCCTGTGGAGGTTGTTTCACCTGTGCCATCTCTCTCTGTTCTTGGTTTATCTTTTGGGTCTGTTCTCTTTCTGTGACGTCAAATTGTCTTTGAGATCTGTCTATTCTCTCCCTGACCCCGGATTTTATTTTCGACCCACATAATCTCTCCCTGACCTTGGTTTTGTCTTCAGCCTGTGCCACCTCTCTCTACCTTGCAGTATCTTTTGGGCCTGTGCCCCCTCTCGCCATCCCAGTTTTGTCCCAGCCTGTCTACCTCATGTGCTCTCGGCCTCAGCCCCTTTGGAGTGAGTGTGTCTCTCCTCCCAGGCCAGGGATCTAGGACCTTGACTCTTTTATTTCAGCCCCAGGGAGAGGTCTCTGCCTGAATTTGGAGTTAATGCTGGGTTCCAGTTAAGGCCTAGGGGATGGAGTCAGTATGCCTGGAAGGGACATCCTGGAAGCTGGGTCCTCCCCTCCAGGAGACATCTTGGCCAACTCCCCCCCCCCCCATTTTACAGAGGAGCAAACAGGCTCAGACACTTGGAAGCGCCTGCCCTTGGTCACCCACTGAGCTTGGGGCAGAGCCAGGGCTTCCCACTCCTGCACCGGGCCCTTCCCAGCGCCCTGCCTGTCATTTATGTACACAAATCAGGCCATGTGTTTGAATGTATGCACTGGGCCTCTAGGGAAGCCCCGCCCCACATCACCACTTCTCCATATCCTTATGTACAAGGCATGCATCTGTCTACCTGCGTCCACATATGCGGCGCACCACTGGGTCAGCCTTTGTCTGGGCACACATTTGTGGATGTGGCATGTCCACTGGCAAGAATGAGAGGGCTCTTTTGGATCAAGCATTCTGGTGTGCCAGCCAGACCCCAACCCACACCCTTTTCTCCATCCCACCCTGCCCACTACCCACCACTTCACCACTTCAGACCTGGACCCCAACTAGCCCTCCCTGACTCAAGATACATGCAGCTTCCCCTGAGGTCATTATCTCAACTGAGCGGAGCATGGTTCTGTGTCTCAGGGGTGCTTTCATACATGCATCGAGGTCACTAGTACCTGCCAGGGGCAGGAGAGTGGAGGTCACATCTTGGCTCTGTGATCCCAGCTCCTGCCTTTACTCCCTCGTCGTGCCTTTGCCTCTCTGAGACTCAGTTTCCCCTTCTATAAAATGGACTGGTAGTGCCCCTCAGGGAGCTGTCGGGTGGATTTTATAAGGTAATCTGTACACAGTGCCATCTAGCATGGAGTCTGGCACGTAGTAGGCACTTGATAAATGTTACCTGTTGTTAATTGTTAATACGAAAGAGAAAGTCAAGGCAGAAAGAGGGTCCTGAGTGGGTCAGCATTCAGGCATCTCAACTCCAATCTAGGGCTCTCTCCAGGACCCCAGGATGGTGGGGGGGTGGGGGGCTGTAGATTTTATAAAGCAGGGTCTTAATGATGAGCTTGACGGGGGAGTGGGCGGGATTGGATGAAGTAGGGCAACTGGTCAGGAAAGAGGCCACAGAAGCCTGTTAGAGCAGACATGAGATGACACGGGTACAATTTTGGGCCCAAGGTGCCCTTGTGGAGTCTGTCCAAGCTCCTGGCTCCTTCTGCCCTCCTCTGTCTTTGCCTCTCTCTCAGCTTCTGATAATCTCTCTCAGTTACTCCCTTGGTGTGTTCTCTCTAACTGGACATCTGTCTCCCTGGCCCACTCCTCTGCCCCTGCTCTGCTTCCCCTCCAGCAGAAGGCAGACCTGGCTGTGGCTGCGTTCACCATCACAGCTGAGCGGGAGAAGGTCATCGACTTCTCCAAACCCTTCATGACCCTGGGGATCAGCATTCTCTACCGAGTGCACATGGTATGGTTCCCCCAAACATGTGGGGGGTGCAGGGGGCTGGCACTGGGGCCAGACATCTGTGTCCCCAAGGGAAGCACAGGCTGTGGGCTGGACCTCAGATGGGCCGATGGGGCTTATGGGCCCCAGAGGGTTGGGTCAGGGCTGGGGATGTGGCTCAGGTCAGTGCGGCTCCGGGTATCACTCCCTCTCCCACCAGGGCCGCAAGCCTGGCTACTTCTCCTTCCTGGACCCCTTCTCCCCTGCTGTGTGGCTCTTCATGCTTCTTGCCTACCTGGCTGTCAGCTGCGTCCTGTTCCTGGCTGCCAGGTGAGTCCACTACTCACTGCCCAGGAAGGAGATCGGGGCGGAGGCATGGGCCGGGCCTCAGTGCCTGACCTGCACATTCTGTTATCTCTCTGGGCCATCCTGGCCTCCGCTCAGGGCCTTGGATTCCCTGCACCCTCCCTTCTCCCTTTCTGGCCCTGTCTCTGTGTTTCCTCCTTGTGGCTCTGACTTCTGCTTGTGGTTCTCTCTGGGTCTGTCCCCTTCCCAGTCTTTCTCGCCCTCTCCCCTTTTGTCCCCACTGCCACTCTCTATTTCTCTGGGTATATCTGTCTTCATCTCTGTCTCTCTCTTCTCCTCCATTTTTCTCCCCTGTCTCTTCTTATCATGGTGGTTCTCTCTCCTCTTTTTCTATCCCTTTTCTCCCCACCTACCATGTCTCTCCACAGGCTGAGCCCCTACGAGTGGTATAACCCGCACCCGTGCCTGCGGGCGCGCCCCCACATCCTGGAGAATCAGTACACGTTGGGCAACAGTCTCTGGTTCCCCGTGGGGGGCTTCATGCAGCAGGGCTCGGAGATCATGCCCCGGGCGCTGTCCACGCGCTGCGTCAGCGGAGTCTGGTGAGAGGCTGTCTGTCTGCCCCACCTGGGGCTGGGGGCTGGGGGACCCATTCCTGTTACACACGCCAGCTGTGTGACAGGGATGCGGTGGGAAGCAGTGAGCCCCAGCTCTGCCACTCACTAGCTGTGTGACTTTGGGTTGGCTGTATGCCCTCTTCATGCCTCAGTCTCTTTGTCTGAGAAATGGGGATTAAAATGTCCATGTCTCAGGTTGTAAGGGTTCAGTGAGGCTATGATGGAAAAGTGCTCCTGCTGACCTGAGGGAGTATAATCAGGACAGCATCAATGTTATCACTGTCTTAGACATTGCCCGGGCAGTCACAGGGACTTAGGATCCTGGAGCCAGGACAGCCTTCACTGTCCAGAGACCGAGGCTGAGAGGCACTTGCTCCCTCAAAGTCCCACAGGGACCTAGTACCTTGGACAGAACTTATTGTGCCCCCAAGACAAGCTTCAAGAAGCTACATGTCAGAGAGCAGATGCCGATAACTGATGGTGTCTGGCCCATAGTTTAAATTTTTTTGAATTAGTTGGCATTTTAAAATTGGGCAAATTCACTCACACATTTAGATTTCTCACTCTTCTTGAAGACTCGGGAGACCTGGTAGTGCTCGGCTGGCATTCCCTCCTGGCATTGATGTCCGTTCCGTGGGCCTCGGCCACCTCTGCCCCGTCAGTCACTTTCGGGCCCAGCATCCACAAGCACTTGCATTTGCTGCCTTGTCATTCCAGGAGCAGCTGAGCTTGGTGGCAGCTCATGTAACCTTTCTCACCTCCTTTTCCTCATTAGAACCACAGAAAGCTGAGGTGAATGTTTAGGACGAGGAATATTCTCCAGGTTTTATGAATTAGAAGACTGAGACCTGGAGAGAGGGAGTAATTTGCTAAAGAGCATGCATTCAGCTAGAGGCCGGGCCAGGCAGAGCCAGCCTTTCTCCCCAGTGCCACTCCCCCGGCAGGCCCTCAGCACTGCCTGTGCCCGGCCCTGCTCCCCCGGCCTTGGGTGGCCTCTCCAGGGCAGCCGAAGCATCGGACCTTTTCAGGGAGTGCTTCCTCCTTGGCCTCCTCCCCGTCAGTCAGAATTCACACATCAGTAGTCATTCAGCGACAGATGCTTCTCAGGCCTCTCCGTGTGCCAGGCACTCAGGTGAAAAATCAGCCCTCAAGAGGCAGAGTCGCTGAGAATAAATGAACAAACAGATAAATAAACACAGGGACATCATATTTCATGTCAAGAATATGTCCCAAACATACTGTCTAATTCAAAACTTGTTTACTTGAGATTAACCATAATGGTGGCAGGTTTTTCTCTCCCCCAACCCAGTGAGACTAACTACTATCTGGCAGTCATTTGCAATTTGCTTAGTCCATTGGCTTTGAAACTTTTGAATCTTGATGATTTTTTGTTTAACACTTTGGAATTGGCATCATTTTGAGAGTTATACCCTGCATTTGTTCCCTATGGCTGCTGCGGTAAATCACCACAAAATCAGTGGCTTAAAAACAACAACAGTTTATTCTCTTACAGTTCTGGAGATCAGAAGTCCAAAATAGATACCACTGTGCTAAAATCAAAGTGTTGGCAGGGCCGGTTCTTCTGCAGGCTCTAGGGGAGGATCCATTTCCTTGCCTTTTCCAGCTTTTAGAAGCTGCCTGTGTTCCTGGGCTTGTGGCCCCTTCCTCCGTCTTCAGAGCCAGCAGGGTAGCATATTCAGATCTCTCTCTCTGACTCTGACCTCCTTGTTCCACTTATAAGGACCCTTGTGATTCCACTGGGGCCCCCTGGATAATCCGGCCCACTCTCCCCATCACAAGATACTTAACTTAATCATGCCTGCCAAGACCCTTTTCCCCTGTGAGGGGACATACTCACAGGTTCCAGGGATTAGGACGTAGACGTCTTTGGAGCAGGGCTTTCTTCTGCCTCCTACTGCGCACCCCGAGCGAACTCTGTTAATGTTTTCAATATAGTGATGTATCAGATGCGCGTAAATTGTGCTTTTTGAAGAACCAAACAGTGCAGTGAGAGAGAACCGTAGAGAATGGAGGTGCTCAGGGAAGGCCCCTCCGAGGAGGTGACATCTAGGCTGAGTCCTGAAGGTGAAAACAGAGGCATGCCTGCCGAGGAGAGGGAGGCACGCTCCAGCCAGACAGGAGAGGGCTGCGTGTGTGAGGAGGTAGCTGAGAGGACGTGAGGAGACCTGCCGTGACAAATCTGGCTGAGTCCCCCGGTCAGATGGGGGACCAGTGACCGCCTCTCTACAGGCCATCCTTTCTGCGCCTCTGCCAGGGACCCCCTTCTCCATCTGGGCATTCTATGCCCCCTTCCTTGCTGTCAACCTGGAAGCCCCCCATCCCGCCCCCTCCCTCACTGGGGCCTTTGACCCCAGGCTCACTCTTACCTCCACCCTGAGTCCTCATTCGCTCATTCAACAGATGTTTCAATAGATGTTTATTAATCTCCAAATGGGACCTTAGCCCGGTGATTGAGCAGGCCTTAGCCAGTGGTAGGGCAGTGGGGGTGGGTGCCAGGACCCTGGGCACTTGGCTGCCACCTGAATTAGCAGCAGCCTGGCCAGATCCTGTCTCCAGAAACTGCACCCAAGGGCTCGGTGTCATTCAGGGCAGCTCTGCCTTGAAAGTCAGTGTTCCTGAGTTTACGTTCTGACCCTGTCCCTGTCCTTCCAGGGCTCTCCCTCAATCGCTGCCGTGAGGTGTGTCTTTTGACCTCCTTTCCTGTTCTCTGAGCCCCACCTGCTTTCATCTCTGTCCACCTAGGTAGGCTCCTAGGCCATTTCTTCAGGTGTTCCTTTGCCATTGTCCTCAACTTCTCCCACTTCTCCTTCCACTCCTCCTTTCCTCATGCCTTCCTGCAGGAAAGCTGCCAAACCTCACATCTGACCAGCAGCTTGGCTCCCCCACCCCCCGTTCCCCCAGGGCACATGGGCCCCCTTTATTGATGCGTCCAATACATACCCTGTTAGCTACCCTCTTTCTAGAAACTCTTTGCTTTTAGGCTGCTGTGTGCTTCTGGTTTCCTCCCACCTCTTTCGATCCTCTGTTTCATTTCACTGTGGGTTCCTTTGGCCCTTGCTCTCTCTCACCTGGAATGCCTCACTCCACACCAGTGATTTTTCAGTGCTCACAGACTCAGTGCCCTCTTTTTATAACAAATATTTTGTAACATCTCTTTTCCACCCTAGTGAAACTCAAGGATAATGTATCTACCTACACACCTACCTACTGATTAAAATCAATATAATGCTCTAATTGCAATACAGAGGAGAAAGGGGGCAGAGACTGATGATAAAACAATAGGATAGTACCATGTAAACGTGTGGGCAGGACTGTGCTGGAGGACCGAATGCAGTGCCTACGGGTGATGGATACGACTGGAATGATGAGAAGTAAGGCCATTTAGTAGAATTATGTCGACACCTGAGACTTGACACTTTGAAATAGCTGGCAAATAAGTGTATTTGTACAAATACAAATCACCGCGAGGGTGATAATTTCCCAATGCAGCTGGTCTGAGTGTCTTCACTTGGTGACTCAAATGCCACAAGCAGTGTTGCTGTCAGAGACGCAATTTCCCAAAATGGTGAACGGTTCTTGGCAAAGTTTCAAACAAAACAACATCCAGTTGTTCCTCAATCTAAACAATAGGTGTATTTCTAGAAATTTTGGTGTCTATTATAGCCATGCAAAAAATACTTCGGTTTTGGGGGTGGGGAGGGTATGGCTCAGTGGTAGAGCACATGGTTAGCATGCACGAGGTCCTAGGTTCAATCCCCAGTACCTCCATTTAAACAAACAAACAAACAAAACTTTGGTTTTTATGTGTCAAGGAGTTAGACTAAGGTAATCAAATACCAGATTTTCCCTGCGTTCAGACTGGGTTGCATTGGTCTATACCTGCCCCCACCCACTGACACCAGATGACCTCAATCACTCTGGCCATCAGAGTGCCCCACACCTAACCAAGCACCTTCCTCCAGCACCTCCCACCCCTGGGACACTATCCACCCAGGGACCACCACTCTGTACACTCCAGAGCCATCTCATCCACCTGGGCTTCCTTTGCTCTTCATAACTGACACTTCCCAAGTCTGCATCTCCATACCTCTCCGAGCTCTTGTCATTACTCCCAAATCAGACTCCCCACCTGTGTTCCCCTGCTCTGTGAGTGGCCCCATCTCCCCCACCAGCACCACCACCAGTCAGCCACACTGCGTCCTCAGGATCTAGGAGGTGCCTTGTGTGTGTCAGGCTCTGAATAATTTTGTCTTGAGTGAATGACAGCATTGACCTATTGGATGGGTTTGGAGAAATTCGGTTTCCAGAGAGACTATTTCAGACCCCGGGTCTTTGTGTGTGTTAGGTTTTGGTTTTCTTTTGCAGAAGGCATGTTATCCATCCCCTTATCTTCCACTCCACCCCCATCCCAGTCCCTAGCACAGCACTGTGCATACGTGCTCAGCAAAGGACAGTGGCTGTTTTCTTCATTATCTGCTGGAGGAGGAGGTGGTCTGGGAGGCCCACTGAGCATCTCCCCTGTCCTCAGGCCCCACAAATGTGTACATCTGCAAGGAGACTGGCCACTCTCACCTCACCTCACCAGGCGGGAGGACAGAGAGGGCCAGGGTAGCTGCCTTTGGGTCTTTGAGCCAGGCCAGTGGGTGCCTCTTCTCCCAAGTCAGTCCTGAGTCACCAAGACAAGAGCACACACGTGCACGGCACTTGCTCTGTGCCAGATGTAACTCACTCTTACGACAGCCCTGTGAAGAGGGGCCTACGATTATACTTAACCTCACAGGTGAATCCAAGGTCTCACAGCTAGCCAGTGATGGAGGCAGGATTTGGGGATTTTCCACAGACCCTTCTGTTATTGATTTCTACTTTATCTCCACTGTGGTCAGAGAACATTCTCTGTAGGATTTTAATCCTTTGCAATTTATTGAGACTTGTTTTATGGCTCAGCATATGGTCTGTCCTGGTAAATGTGCTATATGTACTCTCACAGTGTGTATCCTGCTGTTGGTGGGTGCAGTGTCTATAAATGGCAATTAGGGCCAGTGGGTTATTCATGTCTTCTGTGTGCTTACTGACTTTCTGTCTACTTGTTCTATCAATTATTAAGAGAGGAGTGTTGAGATCTCTACCTGTAATTGTGGAGAAATTGTATCTATTTCTCTTTTCAGTTCTGTCAGTTTGTGCTTCATGACTTTTGAAGCTCTGTAATTAGGTGCATAAATGTTTAGGATTGTTAATGACGCCTTTGTTATTATATAACATTCCTCTTTGTTCCTGGTAAATTCCTCGTTCTGAGGTTACCTTTATTTGATATTCATGTAGCCGCACTCGCTTTCTTATTCTTAGTGTTTGCATAGTCTATCTTTTTCCCATCCTTTCACTGTCAGCCTA